GTTTTTTTTTTTTTTTTTTGTGTTCCTTCCTGGTTGGATCAATAGGTCTATGTTGCAGAACCTGTTATTTCTTATGGAGACTTAGCGTTTGTATCCTAGTTGCACTTTAACATGACATGCAGTGTTTTTGTTCAACACTACTTCTAGTACTTAAAATAAAGTGCTAATTATACATCTGTTAACTGTAATCCTCCTTAATGGATTAGCGTTTTTTGTTCGGGGTTTCTTTTTTTCTTTTCCTTCTCTCGCTGAAAAACTTTGGACTTCATATGAGAATCTAGTTAATGTGGTGTTTATTATATGGCTATTTGGGTAATGTATGAGCATGAAAGTCAGCCTAGCTGTCCCGTGACACATAGTAGCTGTGATCTTCTAGAAATTGGTATAAATAGCAGCCTTGCTCGCTGTGGTGAGAGCAGTTTGCTTATGTGACAGGTTGATAGAAATTATGTGCATGCAGCAGTGTGTCTAGGCTCTTGGACAGTAGAACTTCATAACCTTATTAAAAGTACAATGGGCAACTGTGTCTGTGCTGTAAGTAGCATGTGTTCAACCTATCAAATCAGCTGTTAATCTTGTGGATGAAGTAACTTGCTCTGGCTCTGACTCGACTTTAATATTAAAATTTACCTAGAGTAGATGAACTTGGATGCTTGTTAACTGGTTTTTATGAAGGGTTTTTTCACTCCATGCGTAGAATGTGGAAGAGGTACATTGGCGTTGTGTAGTGATAATAGAGAAGTAGACCTTGATACATCATTGGCTGTCTGCTTGGTTCTCTGGTCCCCCATCTTCCCGGTGCAGACCTTGGAAAAAGCTCTCGTGTCTGGGCAGTGGTCTCGCTGCTGTGACGCTGGACCAACTTGGATTTCGTTCCTCCTGTAAACTGGATGTTCATCCTCCTGGGGTGGGAATTGTATGTGTTCATACGCAAACTACTTTTGTTCCTAGGGAGTGGAGAATCGGAAGTGTCTGTATCTATGTCCTGTGTTCTCTCTCTCTTCTTCCTTTTTTTCCTTTGTTTTATTTTTGTTTGTGGTTTGGTCTCTCTTTTTCCTCCAGGACCAGCATTCTGTACAATTCAAAGGAGATTTGCTTTGTATTTCTTAGAAAATGCAGAACTTGTGATACTGAAAAAAGAACAGTGCAAAGCCAATATCTGATTAAACTGGTTCAGTATTGAATGCATGTCAAACTTGCTGTCTCTTATCACCGCTTCACCTGCTCAGTCTTGGATCTGGAATTGTCAAATCTCTGGGAACAGGCACTCCTTCATGCTGGTAGCTTTGTATTTGGGCTCTTGCAAGACATGTGGGTGGGGTGGAGCTTCCCTTTACTGGGTCTGTTAGCTTAAGTCTGTCTCCCGCATGGAAGCTGCTCTGACCCTGCCACCCCCACAAAAATGCCTTCCTGTCAATGACAACAAATGTGACTTGTGCCTGCTGTGGGCAGTGTAGGATCACTTGATACTTACAGTGCAGCAAATGCAAAGAAACTTGAGTTTCCCTCAGCAAGTTTGGCTTGCAAAAGGGAAATTCAGCTAAGCTTTATGTGAAGGGCAAGGCTCTGCCTTAAGTGCAGCCTCTGTGCTGCAGGTGCCAAACTAGTAGACCAATGATGTAAATCCAGGTCAGGGTGGGAAGAGAGCTGATCGGCTTTCAGTTGCTTTGCTGATTTGATGGCTGCCCTTGTGGAGGAAGGACCACTGAAGGTTCAGATAGCCTTGCCCTCTGAGTAAAGGTGGAGAGCTCACAGCGTGACTGGGAAGGCATTTGGCAAACCAGGGAAGCCAGGATTGCTATTCTGGACTTGGCTACCCTTAAAGCAGAGAAACAGGGGGAATAAATCTTTCTACAGAAGGCTGTAGAGACGGTATCACAGATTAAGCTAGTTAGTTATACTGCACAGATCAGTACCTGGGCCTGATGGTGCTAGGTGCTCCACAGATGCAAATGAGACAAGCCCTGCCTTGAAGAGCTTGCAGTCCAGGATGGGGGAGAGGCCTCAAGCAAGCATGATGAATCTAAAGGAACAGATTGTAACCCTGGGAAGCACAGGATGCAAAAAACTAGCCCCAGACCTGTATATGTCACAGGGCTCTGACCAAAGTCCAAATGGGTGTCTGGCAAACACTGATCCATCTTCCTAGTTGTCTTTTGAGCAGAGTCGCTCATCTTGGGTCTGAAGCCCTGTCAGGTAGGGTGGAGTTTTGCTAGTGGCATGCTGCAGCTGAGAATGAAGTCCCTGCTGCTTAGGTGGGTGGTAGTTTTGATACAGAGAAACTCTGTATTAAACTCTGTTTTCACTCAATGTGGAGAACTTTATTGTGGTGGCAGGGCACCAGCTTTAATGGGGCTGAACTCTGAAATGAGCTGTAAAAATTCCAGATAGTTTAGCCAAGGACTTCTTACATGTGCTAGGTGCTCACTTTTTGCCAATAACAAAATGGCTTCTTATGAGCAGGCTGTAAATTGTACATCTGAACATCTTCACAAGCACAGTTGGATTGTGGCTATGCAGTGCATGTGGTGCACAGAGCAAAAGAATCTAAACAAGTTGGTCAAGCTAAACCCCCCCCCCCCCCCCCCCCC